ACAAATATTTATTGATGCGAAAAACTAAGGATCTTGCCCAATATTTTCAAGTCTTCATTAAGAAGAGAGATGGGCCGGAAGGCTTGCGGTTCCTGGACATCATCGGTCGTCTTAGGAATCATAGAGATATGTGCCCTAAGTGCGTCCGGAGAGGGCAAGGAGCCCTGTCGTAACTCATTAAAGTAGGCAGCTAAAAAGGGTGCCAAAAGGGCTGAGAATTTTTTATAATAGAGACCGGAGAAAGCCGTCTGGACCTGGGGCCGCGGTGGACCGTAAAGATTTGATTGCTTGTAGCACTTCCGGTACGGTGACACCTGCGTTGAGGGCCGCCTGTGCTGCCTCGGTTAATCCAGGAAGATGGAGGTCCTGAAAGAATGCCTCTGCCTGGGCCACAGGGAAGGGATCTGGGGCAGCATAGAGGCGCGAAAGGAAGTCCGAGAATCGGGAAACAATCTGCTGCGGATTAGAAGTACAGCCACCTGTGGAAAGTCGAAGCCGAATCGGTTTATGGGGTTTCCCCACAGAATTTAGTTTCCTGGCTAGCATGGGACCGGGCTTATTAGCACACGAATAGAATTTATGTTTGGTCCAACGCAAGGCCCGTTCCGCCTCCGAAGAGGCAAGGAGGTCCAATTCTGTCGCCAGAGCGTCCCGAGCGCGTTTATGGGCCACGGATGGAGATGACTTCCAATGCGCATCCGCAGAGGCCAGGAGAGAATGAAGCTCCGAGAGTCGACGTTCCCGCTCCCGCTTCCGGACCGCAGCCAGCTGTATAACATGACCCCGCACCGTGGCCTTATGCGCTTCCCATAGGGGCACTGCTGAAGAGACCGATCCCGAGTTTTCCGTAAAGTATGTCCGTAAGAAGAATTCTATTTCTTGGCAGGTAGCCTGAGTGGTCAGTAAAGAGTCATTGATGCGCCAATGAAAAGGGCGTCGTTCTGACCCAGAAAGGGCAAGGAGGAGTACCAAAGGATCATGGTCTGACCAGGGTGAGGAGGGAATAGTTATCCGCCGGACCGAGGGTTGTTGCTGGACCTGCATGAATATATGATCAATTCTACAAAAACTGTCATGAGGGTTAGAATAGAACGTAAAGTCGCGTTCAGTTGGATGAAGTTCCCTCCAGACGTCCGCTAACCCCGCTGTCCGCAAAAGAGAGCGCATACGTGCCTCCAGCACCAAGTCATGAGAGGGGGTCGCTCCTTGTGCGTAGCGCCTATCCAGTGTGGAATCCAAGGTAACATTCGAATCCCCCATAACAAGAAGAAGACCCTTAGAGTGTCGAGAAATAATGGTGCAAAGATGTGAAAAGAATTTATGCTGGAAACGGTTAGGCGCGTAGTAAGAGACAAAGGTAACCTCCTGGTCCCAGAGGGTGCCTTGCAGAAGCAAATACCTGCCCGTGGGGTCCGCTATATTCCGAGCACAGACAAAGGGGAGATTGCGTTTAAAAGCTATCAGAACACCCCGACGCTTCTCAGGAGCCGAGGCCGTGTAAAAGATGGGATAGTGAGGTGAAAGATAACGCGGAGCGGAGAACTGAGAAAACCTGGTCTCCTGTAGACATACCACAGCAATTTGTTGTGACTTGAGATGATGAAAAACTTTAGCCCGCTTCTGAGGCGAATTGAAGCCTTGAACATTATGTGAATATATTTTCAAAAGGGGTGAGGCCATGGCGGTATCAACGCAACACGCTCAGCAGAAAAAAGCCCAAAGCAGCCAGCAATTTCCACTCCCAATGGCGATCGGACCATGGCGTCCCGGAACCCTGCAGAAAACAAAAACAAAAAAAAACAGAAAAAGAGAAGAACAAAGAAAGAAAAAAGGAAAAAGACACAAAAAGTATACACAACAGTGCAATCGTGTGTCACACCAATGGTGACGTGCATCCTACACATGAAGGATACAGTTAGGGGTAACTCTACCACCGGACAAATGGCTGCAAATGGAAACATCAAAACAGAAGCCCTCAGGGGGCAAAAAGTCATTTTCTAATTTGATTCAAATTCCGGACGAATTTTGTGTTGTTATCTCGGATTCGTTTAAATCCATTACTATTGTAAATCGGGAATTTGGACGCATAAGAATTTCCGCACGAGGAAAATTTTCTCCTGAATTTTGATTTCGGAGCGAAGGCAATTTGAAACCTGGTGTTTGCACGCGGGGTGGCCCATTCACTTCAATATGCGTTTGTCCCCCAAAAGAAGCCCCTCCCCCTTCAGCTTCGGATGGCGTGGGATTTCTGCAGGATTCGATCACAGCGGAATGACACCGCGTTCGGGGTGCTGTTAAGAAAGCGCGTGGAGCGGTTTGCTGCGATTTTTTTAACCAGGAATTGAGGCGCTTCTGCTCATAAACCTGCGAATGGATGAGGCGGTTCTGTGGGCGGAGCCATGTACAGCTGGGCAGTTAGGAAGAGCCCGGTAAATGTGTCATGCTCAGAAAGGCAGTGCAACGCCCCCTGCTGGCCGGATATGACGTACGCACCGGTCACATCCACCATTCCCCTCACTAAACAGTAATAGAAAGGGAAGAAGGTATAGACACAGACCATCCCCCAACACCGGGGTCATGTGACTATCGAAAAATAAATCGGTCACGTGCGTCTGCAGGAGGCGGGGCCGCTCCCGGAGGGAACAGGCGACTCCGGAGGGTCACGTGGGGTTCGGAGGCGGGCCCGCCGTACGGCAGACTGACAGTTGCTGGGCTGTTGTGATGGCAACGGGCGGAAGTGACGTCATACCCGGACCTCCGGCGCGGATTGGAGGCTGGAGCGGCGGTAATGTTCAATCTCCAGACTGTGTGAGAGAGAGAGAGAGCGGAGGTGAGGAGGGGAGGGTGTCACTGGAACATCTCCGGGGCCATCGTTTCAGGGGTCCTGGAGGTGCCGCTGGTTGGCATTGAAGGTGTCAGTGGTTGGCCTTGGAGATCGCCCTGGTTGGGGGTGTCACTGGTTGGCATTGTTGGCTTCCCAGGTCTGACTATTTGGCTTCTTGTTGGTGGTGTCACTGGTTGCTGTTAGAGGTGTTATTGGTGGTGTCACTGGTTGGCATTGTAGGTGTCTCTTGTCCGCCATGGAGGTGTCAGTGGTTGGCAATAGTGGTGTCACTGGTTGGGCATGGAGCTGTTACTGACTGGCATAGTGGGTGTCAGTGGTTGGCCATGGATATCTCACTGGTTGAGGGTGTCGCTGGTTGGCATTGGTGGCTTCCCAGGTTGGCGCTGGAGGTGTCACTAGTTGGCCATGGAGGTGTCACTGGTTGGGGATGTTGCTGGCTGGTGTTGGCGGTGTCACTGGTTGGTATTTTAGAGGTATGACTAGTTGGCTATGGAGGTGTCTCTTGTTGAAGGCGTTGCTGGTTGGCCATAGAGCTGTTAGTTGTTGTTGGTGTCACTGGTTGTTGTTTGGAGGTGTCACTGGTTGGCGTAGGTGGTTTCACAAGTTGACCATGGAGGTGCTGCTGATTGGCCATGGAGGTGTCAGTGGTTGGCATTGTTGGTGTCAGTGATGTGGGGGGGTGTCACTGGTGTTAGTGGTGTCAGTAGTTGGCCATGGAGATGTCTCTTGCTGAGGGTGTCACTGGTTGCATATGGAGGTGTCACTGGTTGCCTATGGAGGCCTCAGTGGTTAGGGGTGTCACTGGTTGGCCGTGGAGGTCTCACTGGTTGGTGGGTGTTGCTGGCCGGCATTAGTGCTTTCCCAGGTTGGCATTGGAGGTGCCACTAATTGTCCATGGAGGTGTCTCTTATTGAGGGTGTCACTGAATGATGTTGGGGATGTCGCTGGTTGGTGTTGATGGTGTCACTGGCATTTTAAAGGTATCACTAGTTTATCATGGAGGTGCTGCTGTTTGTTTATGGAAATGTTACTTGTTGAGGGTGTTGTTGGTTTGCCATGGAGGTATCAGTGGTTGGGGTGTCACTGGTTGGCGTTAGTGGTGTCATGGCATTGATTGTGTCACTGGTTGGCCATGGGTGTGTCATTGGTTGGCATTGGAGGTGGCAGTAGTTGTCCATGGAGGTGTTTCTTGTTGAGGGTGTCACTGGTTGGCCATGGAGGTTTCATTGGTTGGAATTGGAGATGTCTCTTGTTGAGGGTGTCACAGGTTGGCATTGGAGGTTCCAATAGTTGGCCATGGAGGTGTCTCTTGTTGAGGGTGTTGCTGGCCGGTCATAGGGATGTCACTGGTTGGCATTGGAGGTGTCTCTTGTTGAGGGTGTTGCTGGTTGGCCGTACGGGTGTCACTGGCTGGCATTGGAGGTGTCAGTAGTTGGCCATGGAGGTGTTTCTTGTTGAGGGTGTTGCTGGTTGGCCATTGGAGGTGTCAGTAGTAGTTGGCCATGGAGGTGTCTCTTGTTGAGGGTGTTGCTGGTTGGCCATAGGGGTGTCACTGGCTGGCATTGGAGGTGTCAGTAGTTGGCCATGGAGGTGTTTCTTGTTGAGGGTGTTGCTGGTTGGCCATTGGAGGTGTCAGTAGTTGGCCATGGAGTGTCTCTTGTTGAGGGTGTTGCTGTTTGGCCATAGGGGTGTCACTGGCTGTCATTGGAGGTGTCAGTAGTTGGCCATGGAGGTGTCTCTTGTTGAGGGTGTTGCTGGTTGGCCATAGGGGTGTCACTGGCTGTCATTGGAGGTGTCAGTAGTTGGCCATGGAGGTGTGTCTCTTGTTGAGGGTGTTGCTGGTTGGCCATAGGGGTGTCACTGGCTGTCATTGGAGGTGTCAGTAGTTGGCCATGGAGGTGTCTCTTGTTGAGGGTTTCGCTGGTTGGCATTGGGCGTGTCACTGAGGGATTTGATGAATCTAGGAAGGCTGGGGAGGAGGGGGAACTGGTGGATGCCAGGATGTCACTAATGGGGATTGAGGGTTTTCATGTGTGGGGTCTAGGGGTGTCATGGGGGGGCTGGTAAGTGCGGGGTGGCGGGATCAGCAGCGGCCTTGCACTGGAAGAATACAGATCAGAACTGTGAATTTCACTCTCATTCCTCCCCCTGACAGATGTCTGTGCGCTACCCCCGCCCCGGTCTGAAGACAGCCGGCACCAAGAAGAAGACCCGAGTGCGCCAGGCCTGGGATGTGAGTCTGTGTTCTGGGGGTGCGCTGATCCCCCCCGGATCCGCGGATAGAAATACGAACCTTTCAATACAAGATACTCAGTTCCCTTTCTATGACAACTTAGGAATTGAAGAATAGTCGGATATTTCCTTGACCTCTTCCCGTCCGGCCATTGTATATAAACGGGTAGACGGTGGCAGGGGCGGGGCGGGCGGCCAGCAAGATTAAAAATATATACTGTTAATTAAAGTACTAAGTTCATGAGGTTGCATGCACCTTGTTGGATTGAACCCATAGTTATCCAGCATGGTTTACAAAGTGGCTGAATTTCTGAATTTTCGCTTTTAATCTGTGCTTTGCCCTGCGTTGCTTTACCCATGCAGAGCATAGCAACAGGTGCTGGTGTTGTAGCTCACACAGTGCCATGGACTCCCCGTTCACAGTCCCGATTGGCCCAGAGCTGTCACAAGGCTGAGTCACATGCTCCTCCGTACATAGAAGTACCAGTTGCCATAGCTCCAATGGGATCCAAAACTTGTGAGACGTCCTTAGTGCTCTTGTCTGTGTTATTCCCCCGTCCATACACTCAGTTCCTGCAGGATAATGTCTGGCTGTATGCTATCAATGACTCATCACTCTTCTTTTTTCAGAGCTCCGTTCAAGATCTCAATGTACACCGGGCCACCCCCGAGGAGCTGGTGAGTGAAAGTAGTAATCTTCATGGAGATTTACTGAATGTATTTAATGGGAAGGGGTGCTGAAATGTGCTGGGGGGTCCATTGATGCTGGCTGCTGGGGAATCTATTGTTGAGGGAGGGGCCCATTGTTGCTAGGGGGTCTTATGTTGCATGGAGGCATCTACTGTTGAGGAAGGAGTCTATTGTTGCTGGCTGCTAGAGGGTCTATAAATGCTGGCTGCTGTGAGATCTATTGTTGCTGGTAGAGGCCTATTGTTCTAGCAGTGGATCTGTCGTTGCTATGGGGTATATTGTTGCCAGGGGTCTGTTGTAGCTGGGGAGATCTGTTGTTGCGGGGGGAGGGGTAATTTTTGTTGCTGGGAATCTATTGTTACTTTGAGGGGCTATTGTTGCTGGCCACAGGGGATCTATTTTACTGCTTTTCTTATCATTTACACATTGCATACAAACTGCTTGGCACAAATGGTACTTGGTTCTGTACTCTCTAAAAGGGTCAGTACTGGGAGGTGGTTAGGGGGTAGAACCAAGAGATGGCGCTTGGAGGCGGGTAGGGGGTATGATCCAAGGGGTGTCGCTTGGAGGTGGGTAGGGGGTTGGATCCAAGGGGTGGTGCTTGGAGGTGGGTAGGGGGTTGGATCCAAGGGATGGCGTTTTGGAGGTGAGTAGGGGGTTGGATCCAACGGGGGGGGTGGCGCTTGAAGGTGGGTAGGGGGTTGGATCCAAGGGATGGCACTTGGAGGTAGGTAGGGGGTGGATCCAAGGGACAGTGCTTGGAGGTGGGTAGGGAGTAAAAAACCAAGGCACGGTGCTTTGAGTTGGGTAGGGGGTGGATCCAAGGGGCGGCGCTTGGAGGTGGGTAGGGGGTTGGATCCAAGGGGCGGCACTTGGAGGTGGGTAAGGGGTGGATCCAAGGGGTGGCGCTTGGAGGTGGGTAGGGGGTTGGATCCAAGGGATGGCACTTGGAGGTAGGTAGGGGGTGGATCCAAGGGACAGTGCTTGGAGGTGGGTAGGGAGTAAAACCAAGGGACGGCGCTTGAAGTTGAGTAGGGGGTGGATCCAAGGGGCGGCGCTTGGAGGTGGGTAGGGGGTTGGATCCAAGGGGCGGCACTTTGAGGTGGGTAAGGGGTTGGATCCAAGGGATGGCACTTGGAGGTGGGTAGAGGGTAAAACCAAGGGACGGCGCTTGGAGGTGGGTAGGGGGTTGGATCCAAGGGGCGGCGCTTGGAGGTGGGTAAGGGGTTGGATCCAAGGGACGGCACTTGGAGGTGGGTAGAGGGGTGGTATGAAGGGGCAGCGCTTGGAGGTGGGTAGAGGGGGTGGTACCAAGGGGTAGCGCTTGGAGGTGGGTAGAGGGGTGGTACCAAGGGGTAGCGCTTGGAGGTGGGTGGGGGGTTGGATCCAAGGGATAGCACTTGGAGGTGGGTGGGGGGTTGGATCCAAGGGATAGCACTTGGAGGTGGGTAGGGGGTTGGATCCAAGGGGCGGCTCTTGGAGGTGGGTAGGGGGTTGGATCCAAGAGACAGCGCTTGGAGGTGGGTAGGGCGTAAAACCAAGGGACGGCGCTTGGAGGTGGGTAGGGGGTTGGATCCAAGGGGCGGCGTTTGGAGGTGGGTAGGGGGTTGGATCCAAGGGGCAGCGATGGGAGGTGGGTAGATCCAGGGGATGGCGCTTGGAGGTGGGTAGGGGGTGGATCCAAGGGATGGTGCTTGGAGGTGGGTAGGGAGTAAAACCAAGGGACAGCGCTTGGAGGTGGGTAGGGGGTTGAATCCAAGGAGCGGCTCTTGGAGGTGGGTAGGGGGTTGGATTCAAGGAGCGGCTCTTGGAGGTGGATAGGGGGTTGGATTCAAGGAGCGGCTCTTGGAGGTGGGTAGGGGGTTGGATTCAAGGAGCGGCTCTTGGAGGTGGGTAGGGGGTTGGATTCAAGGGGGCGGCGCTTGGAGGTGGCTAGGGAGTGGACACAAGGGGTGACTTAGAAGAGGGGAGTTACCTGCACCTATTCTCTGAGGGGAAAAAAAGCCCTGCCTAAAGCACAGGCATTGGCTCTAAGCACCCCTTCCAGAAAGCACAGGCAGGTCCCAGACCTCTCTGTTGGTGACACTCCCATTAAAAGTGCAGGTTTAAAAAGAAAAATGTAAAAAAAGTTATACTCGCCTATACAGCTGCAGCATAGACCCGATGCTGCAGCTCTTCCCTACTGCCTCTACTCTGAGAACCGAGCGATCAAAGGCCGCTGACCTCAGTTCTTGGGTTCACTTGGAGCACAGAGCGGTGACTGTCAGTCACCGCTCTGTGCTCTGCCCCTCCAGCATTCACTGGAGCCCCAGGCTGGAGCGGGGGCAGGAACGGCTGGCTCAGTCTATCAAGACTGAGCCAGCTGTCGATCAGGCATCTGGGCGGATCCTGACATTATTGGCAGGATCCCTGCAGAGACTGGACCAGCTCTGTGACGTCAGATGACAGCGGACTTAAGACCACTTTTGGTTGAATCTGGGTTGCTGAGTTCTCACAGCCACTCTGAGCAGAGAGCGGGACTGTCAGTCACTGCTCTCGCCCCCGTGTTCTGTCTTATGATTGGGCCATTCTGTTATGACCTACAGTTCCAGAATATGAAATAAAAGGAATGGGTTTTGCCGGCTCACTCATGTTTTCTTTAAAAATGGGACAATCTGTATATTGCCAATTCTCCAAGGGGGGCGGAAAACTTTTGAGCACAACTGTCTGCATCCTAGAGAGGGTGGGCTATAGTGGGACAGGAAAGGGAACAGAAGGGGCGAATTAAAGAACTTCCAAGATTTTATCTTTAGGTAATGTCTGTTCGTTTTATTACATTTTTGCCGTTTTCTAGGCCCACAGACACGAGATACACAAATCTAAGAATCAGCGGCTAGCTCAGTGGGAACTTCAGAAGAAATCTCTGAAGAAGAAGTGGAGGAAACAGAATGGAGGAGCTGCAGACCCGCTGGAGGAGAGGCGGCTGGCCCTGATGATGGAGGTGGGTGAAGAGAGATTTCACAATGTTTGAAAAGACCCAACTTCAGCTTCTCTACACTCTGTCCTGATACACCGCGGGGGGGTCTTGTCATACCGGAGACCACCAGCACAGGAAACATGGGTGGGGTGATACTTTGCTAGTTCAGGCAGTAAAACAGGGCTGTCAATCTGCCAGGCCCTCCAGCTGCTGCAGAACTACAAGTCCCATCATGCCTCTGCCTTTGGGAGTCATGCTTGTAACTGCCAGACTTGCAGTGCCTCATGGGACTTGTAGTTCCACAACAGCTGGAGGGCCGCCAGTTTGACACCCCTGCAGTAAAAGTAACAATAGGAGAAAATTAGTTGAATGACAGCCATTTAATCTGACCTCCGGCCTTCCTTCAGTCTTGCACAGTTGTACCGGCTCCTCTGCTGGACTGGCTCCCTCTGATTTCACCGCACACTGCGAGCTTCTCACAATGTGCATTAGAAGCTGCAGCAAGTCAGATCTCTGCCTCATTTCCTAGCTGAAAGATGTTCAGCATCATCTAACATGGGTGTCAATCTGTCAGCCCTCCAGCCTCTGCAGAACTACAAGTCCCATCATGCCTCTGCCTTTGGGAGTCATGCTTGTAACTGCCAGCCTTGCAATGCCTCATGGGACTTGTAGTTCCACAACAGCTGGAGGGCCGACCAGTTTGACAGCCCTGCAGTAAAAGACAGAGTAACAACAGGAGAAAATGAGCTGAATGGCTGATGTTACACAGCCATTTAATCTGAACTCCGGCCTTCCTTCAGTCTTGCACAGTTGTACCGGCTCCTCTCCTGGACTGAAATGGCTCACTCTGATTTCACTGCACACTGTGAGCTTCTCACAATGTGCATTAGAAGCTGCAGCAAGTCAGATAGATCTTTCTTATTTCCTAGCTGAAAGACGTTCAGCATCATCTAACATGGGTGTCAATTTGGCAGGCCTTCCAGCTCTTGTGGAACTACAAGTCCCATCATGCCTCTGCCTTTGGGAGTCATGCTTGCATCTGCCTGCCTTGCAGTGCCTCATGGGACTTGTAGTTCCACAACAGCTGGAGGGCCGCCAGTTTGACAGCCCTGCAGTAAAAGAGTAACAATAGAAGAAAGTTAGTTGAATGGCTGATGTTTCACAGCCATTTAATCTGACCTCCGGACTTCCTTCAGTCTTGCACAGGTGTACCGGCTCCTCTCCTGGACTGGAATGGCTCACTCTGATTTCACCGCACACTGCGAGCTTCTCACCATGTGCATTAGAAGCTGCAGCAAGTCAGATCTCCGCCTCATTTCCTAGCTGACAGATGTTCAGCATCATCTAACCCTTTCTTCCCCAGCTTGTCTGTCCTTGGCCCGCCCCTTTCATTCATTGGATTTCAGATATTTCAGTCATCAAAAGGGTAGTCTGACTAGGGAAGGCCACTCCAGACTGATCTCCATGCATCCAGGCACTTTGGTGTTTGCATAACTCCTCCCAAGAGGCCGACCCCGCTTCTTGTATCAGGACTGAGGCCTCTTGAAAGGAACATTAAGGCAGGGGGTTGTGATGTTGTCAGGAAGCTATGTACAGCACCCTGCCGGCCCCTCCCACCAGCCAGGATCTGCCTGCATTGCATAGAGAGGTACAGTACAGCTAAATTAAGGTATGTAATGAAAATGGAAGAGTTTTATTTAGAAATGTCATTATCGCTTTGATGATTTATGGGGGGGGCTTTCAGGAGATGGAGGGGCCAGGGAAGGCAAGATATAAGCAGATTACCACTTCCCTACTGTGATATAGCTGAATGAGGACAACAACTGCGCGGTTGTCCAGTTCTTGGAGGGCGTCATATGCCCCCAGCGGCGCACACCTGGCGCTGTCTGTGATAGCTGTGTCCACATGACATGACATGGTAAAGGGCCAATCACAACGGACTTTTACCACATGATCATCTGTGTCCAGCTGACCACCATGTAAATACACTTGCTGGTTATTGGCGGTACTTTCCTCATGCTGTCACAGTGTGAGGAAAGTACTGCCGATAACCAGCTACTGTCAAAGGTGACATCTACACTGATAATCAGTGCCCTGATTCAGTGCTTCCCAACAGTGCTGCCCAACAGTTCCCAACAGTGCTGCCCAGCAGTCCTGCCAATCTGCCTGTAGTGCCGCCAGCCATTGCCATCAGTCGGTGCCCTACAGTGCCCATCAGTGCTGCATATCAGTGCCTCCTCATCAATGTCCACCAGTGCTGCATATCAGTGCTGTCCATCAGTTCCCAACAGTGCTGCCCAGCAGTCCTGCCAATCTGCCTGTTAGTGCTGCTGCCAGCCAGTGCCATCAGTCGGTGCCCTTCAGTGCTACCTACAGTGCCCATCATTGCTGCTTATCAGTGCCCATCAGTGCCTCCTCATCAATGCCCACCAGTACTGTCCATCAGTTCCCAACAGTGCTGCCCAGCAGTCCTGCCAATCTGCCTGTCAGTGCCACCAGTCGGTGCCGCCAGTCAGTGCCCTTTAGTGCTACATACAGTGCCCATCATTGCCGCCTATCAGTGATCATCAATGCTGCATATCAGTGCCTCCTCATCAATGCCATGCCCACCAGTAGTGCCCAACAGTGCTGTCCATCAGTTCTCAACAGTGCTGCCCAGCAGTCCTGTCCTGTTAGTGCTGCCAGCCAGTGTCACCAGTCGGTGCCTTTCAGTGCTACCTACAGTGCCCATCATTGCAGCTTATCAGTGCCCATCAGTGCTGCATATCAGTGCCTCCTCGTCAATGCCCACCAGTGCTGTCCAGTTCCCAACAGTGCTGCCCAGCAGTCCTGCCAATCTGCCTGTTAGTGCTGCCAGCCAGTGCCATCCGTCAGTGCCCTTCAGTGCTACCTACAGTGCCCATCATTGCCGCCTATCAGTGCCCATCAGTGCTGCATATCCGTGCCTCCTCATCAATGCCCACCAGTACTGCCCAGCGGTGCTATACAATGCTGTCCATCAGTTCCCAACAGTGCTGCCCAGCAGTTCTGCCAATCTGTCAGTGCCACCAGTCGGTGGCACCAGCCAGTGCCCTTCAGTGCTACCTACAGTGCCCAGCATTGCTGCCTATCAGTGCTGTATATCAGGGCCGCCTCATCAGTGCAGCCTCATCAACGTACAACAGTGAAGGAAAAAAAATGACCGGTCTGCAAAATTTTAATAGGGACAAAGAAAACTTTTTTTTTTTTTTTCCCCAAAATTTTCGCCCTTTTTTTTTTGCTTTATAGTGCAAAAGATAAAACACCCGGTGCTGATAAAATAATACCAAAAGAAAGTTCTATTTGTGTGAAAAAAATAATAAAAATTTCATATGAGTACAGTGTTGCATGACCGCGCAATTGTCATTCAAAATGTGACAGCGCTGAAAGCTGGAAATTGTCCTGGGCAGGAAGGGGGTGACAGTGCCTGGTAGGTGAGGGGTTAAAGTTCCGCATTTAATTGGTAAAGGCAATGTTTTCATATTGCGTGTTCTATGCGTGTACTCTATGCTGCTGCCGTGTTGTTCTTTGCACATTTGCATTGTATGTTATGGATAACAATGTCAAAACCTTTGAGTCCAGCTGTGTAGGCCGGCTGTTTATTATGTGTGAATTGTTTTCTCTTGTTAGATTCTTTCTGATCAGTATCAGATGAAGGATGTCCTGGAGCGATCAGACCGTGCCATGTCTGTGGTGAAGGACCTCTTTGGGGACGCCCCCCGCAGGCACACAGGTGACACTGCTATTACTACAGAGACCTTCTGTAATCTTCAAGGTATTCCATACATTTTAGATGTTCCAAAGTTTGTTTTTTGAAGGAAATCCATTCACATCAGTGAAGTATTTATTTCAGGTACTTATATAGCGCCGGCAATGTACGCAGCACTTTACATATATATTGTACATTCACATCAGTCCCTAACCCTCAAGGGGCGTACAATCTAAGGTCCCTAACCCTCAAGGGGCGTACAATCTAAGGTCCCTAACCCTCAAGGGGCGTACAATCTAAGGTCCCTAACCCTCAAGGGGCGTACAATCTAAGGTCCCTAACCCTCAAGGGGCGTACAATCTAAGGTCCCTAACCCTCAAGGGGCGTACAATCTAAGGTCCCTAACCCTGAAGGGGCGTACAATCTAAGGTCCCTAACCCTGAAGGGGCGTACAATCTAAGGTCCCTAACCCTCAAGGGGCGTACAATCTAAGGTCCCTAACCCTGAAGGGGCGTACAATCTAAGGTCCCTAACCCTCAAGGGGCGTACAATCTAAGGTCCCTAACCCTGAAGGGGCGTACAATCTAAGGTCCCTAACCCTCAAGGGGCGTACAATCTAAGGTCCCTAACCCTCAAGGGGGGTACAATCTAAGGTCCCTAACCCTCAAGGGGCGTACAATCTAAGGTCCCTAACCCTCAAGGGGCGTACAGTCTAAGGTCCCTAACCCTCAAGGGGCGTACAATCTAAGGTCCCTAACCCTCAAGGGGCGTACAATCTAAGGTCCCTAACCCTCAAGGGGCGTACAATCTAAGGTCCCTAACCCTCAAGGGGCGTACAATCTAAGGTCCCTAACCCTCAAGGGGCGTACAATCTAAGGTCCCTAACCCTCAAGGGGCGTACAATCTAAGGTCCCTAACTCACATTCATACATACATATAATAGGGACAATTTAGACAGGAGCCAATTCACCTACCAGCATGTCTTTGGAGTGTGTGAGGAAACCGGAGTACCCGGAGGAAACCCACGCAGGCACAGGGAGAACATGCAAACTCCAGGCAGGTGGTGCCGTGGTTGGGATTTGAACCAACGACCCGAGTACTGCAAGGCGGAAGTGCTAACCATTTAGCCACTGTGCTGCCCATATAAATGTATTAAAAATGGCCAATTAATAAGAATTCTGTTTTCTGTGGAACGCAGGGCAAAAAAAAAAAAGACTAATGATGCCGTCTGCTACTTGCATTAGGGTGGAACTAAAGGCAGAATGTTTTTTGACCTTCGTGCATTCTCTGCATTAGGGTACAAAATCTTCTGCATGCAGATGCAGACCTGACCCCCTTTACTTGCCTGAGCCTGATCTCGATCCAGGGATCAGAAGCTCTCACAGTTCTCTCCCTCCTCATTGGCTCAGACACATCAGAGGAAGCCATTGGCTCCTGCTGCTGTCAATTATTATTATTATACAGGATTTATGGCGCCAACAGTTTGCGCAGCGCTTTACAATATAAGAGAGGCAGTACAATTACAATACATTTCACTACAGAAGGAATATGAGGGCCCGGCATGTGGAGCTTACAATCTAAAGTGAGGGAGTGGGGGCGGGGCCGAGCTGCGCTCTGTGTGTCAATGGAAACATAGAGCAGGGCAAGCAAGCAAGCAGCTTGTTGTGGGAGCACTCAGCGGGGGAGGAGCCAGGAGCACCAGTGGGGAACCCGAGAAGAGGATCAGGGCTGCACTGTGCAAAACCATTGTTTTTAAATGCTCGATTTCTGTTTTTAACCTCTTCACGCCGGCCGAACGCAAATATGCGGCCTCCCGGCGTCTGGGCCTAGACGCCGAGCGGCCGCACATTTGCGTCCTATTAAAAACGGACATGTGCCGAGAGCGCTTATAGCACACATGTCCGGTATTCACGGAAAGGTCCCGATCTCCTCTTTCGATCGGGACCTTTCCCAATCATGTGACCCGTCACGGCGATCACATGACCCTCAACCCCGCCCGCATCCCCAGCTTCTGAAACTCTTAAAGGGCTGAGAGGCGCCGGCGTGAAGGGATAAAGTGAACATAAAGGGTGCAAAATTTACTTTTTTTTTTTTTATCCCCAACTTCCCATCCCTTTATGCTGGTATTTGGCTGTCTTCATTGGCTGGCACGGGATGACATCACTCCTGGGCATGTGCAGGAGCCAGTCATCCTGGCACACGGATCAGGCTGGCACTGCAAGCTAAGCTGCACATGAGCAGCTCCGTTTACATGCCAGAGAAATTCTGTGAACAGGCAGGTAGGTGGATTTTATTGCAGAAAAGATGTCTCTTCTGCAATAAAAAGCCTATCTGCTTGCAGTGAGCAACAGCAGAACTTAGTTCCCCTTTAAAAGCAGATTTTGTGATATTAGTTGCACTTTTTAGTTAAATATTTGCTATAGGATGTTTCCTTTTAGATGTATTGTTGGCCTAAGGATTTGATACTCAGTGTAGCAAGCAAAAAAAATCACGTACTGTGCAAGCCGGGAATAAAGATTTGTTCATTCCTGGATAAGAAGCGTTTTTCTTAACTCAGTGTACAGCGAGGAACAGAAGTATTTGAACCCCCTGCGATTTTGCAAGTTCTCCCACTTAGAAATCATGGAGGGGTCTGACATTCACATTGTAGGTGCATTCCCACTCTGAGAGACAGAATAAAAAAAAAATTCAGGAAATCACATTGTATGATTTTTAAAGAATTTATTTGTCTCGCACTGCTGAACAGAAGTATTTGAACACCTAAGAAACAGCAAGAATTCTGCCTCTCAAAGACCTGTTACTGCGCCTTTAAAAAGTCCCCCTCTACTCCACTCATTCATCTAACTTAGTAGCACCTGTCTGAGCTCTTTAAAGACACCTGTCCACCCCACAGTCAGTCAAACACCAACTACTACCATGGGCAAGACTAAAGAGCTATCAAAAGACACCAGAGACAAAATTGTGGACCTCCACAAGGCTGGAAAGGGCTACGGGGCAATTGCCAAGCAGCTTGGTGAAAATAGATCAACTGTTGGAGCAATTGTTAGAAAATGGAAGAGGCTAAAGACGACTGTCAGTCTCCCTCGGACTGGGGCTCCATGCAAGATGTCACCTGTGTGGGGTATCACTGATGATAAGAAAGGTGAGGAATCAGCCCAGAACTACAAGGGAGGAGCTGGTCAATGACATGAAGAGAGCTGGGACCACAGTTTCAGAGGTCACAGTCGGTAGAACACTACGCCGTCATGGTTTCACATGTGCACGGAAGGTTCCCCTGCTCCAACACATGTCCAGGCCCGTCTGGTTTTCCACATGTCCATCTGAATGCTCCAGTCATTTCCAGGCCCGGAAGGTTCCCCTGCTCAAGTCATCACATGTCAGGCCCGTCTGAATGTCCCCTGGTCATCCGTCTGAAGGTTCCCAGTCATGATTTCCAAGCCCGTCTGAAGGTTCCCCTGCTCAAGTCATCACATGTCCAGGATCAGACCATCTGGATGATCCAGAGGAGGCATGGGAGAAAGTCATGTGGTCAGATGAGACCAAAGTAGAACTTTTTGGTCTAAACTTCACTCGTGTGTTTGGAGGAAAAAGGATGAGTTGCATCCCAAGAACACCATCCCTACTGTGAAGCATGGGGGTGGTAACATCATGCTTTGGGGGTGCTTTTCTGCGAAGGGGACAGGACGACTGCACTGTATTAAGGAGAGGATGAATGGGGCCATTTATTGTGAGATTTTTGCAGCAACAACCTCCTTCCCTCAGTCAGAGCATTGAAGATGGGTGGTGGCTGGGTCTTCCAACATGACAACGACCCGAAGCACACAGCCAGGAGAACCAAGAAGTGGCTCCGTAAGAAGCATATCAAGGTTCTGGAGTGGCCTAGCCAGTCTCCACACCTAAATCCAATAGAACATCTTTGGAGGGAGCTGAAAACTCCGTGTTGCTCAGCGACAGCCCCGAAACCTGACAGATCTAGAGGAGATCGGTGTGGAGGAGTCGGCCAAAATCCCTGTTGCAGTGCAAACCTGGCCAAGGACTACAGGAAACGTCTGACCTCTGTAATTGCAGACAAAGGCTTCTGTACCAAATATTAACACGGATCTTCTCAGGGGTTCAAATACTTCTGTTCAGCAGTGCGAGACAAATACATTCTTTACAAATCATACAATGTGATTCTCCTGAATTTTTTTAAAATTCTGTCTCTCAGAGTGGGAATGCACCTACAATGTGAATGTCAGACCCTCCATGATGGAGAAGTGGGAGAACTTGCAAAATCGCAGGGGGTTCAAATACTTCTGTTCCTCGCTGTATGTGTATCTATCTATCTATCTATCTACAGTTGTGCTCAAAAGTTTCCCTCCCCTGGCAGAAATTGTGAAATTTTGGCATTGATATTGAAAATATGACTGATCATGCCAAAAAATGCTTTTTTATTGAAGGATGACGATCATATGAAGCCATTTATTATCAAATAGTTGTTTGTCTCCTTTTTAAATCCTAATGATAACAGAAATCACCCAAATGGCCCGAATCAGAAGTCTCCACCCCCCCCCTGGATCAGAAGTCTCCACCCCCTGGATCAGAAGTCTCCCCCCCTCCCCCCCCCCCCCCGGAATGTTTGGCCTTGGTACAGACACACAAGGTGACACAAATGGGTTAAAATGTCAATTAGAGGTTAATGTCCCACATCTGTGGCTTTTTAAGTTGCAATTAGTGTCAGTGTATAAATAGTCAATGAGTTTGTTCGCTCTTACATGGAAGCACTGACTAGGCTTGATACTGAGCCATGGGGATCAGAAAAGAACTGTCAAAAGTCCTGCGTAACAAGGTAAGGGAACATAATAAAGATGGAAAAGGACATAAAAAGATGTCCAAAGCCTTGAATATTCCAATCAGTACTGTTACATCACCTATTAAGAAGTGGAAAGTTCGAGGATCTCTTGATACCAAGCCACGGTCAGGTAGACCAAGAAAGATTGCAGCCACAACTGCCAGAAGAATTGTTTGGGATACAAAGGGAAACCCATAGAAACAAGAAAAATCCAGGCTGCTCTGGAAAAAGACAGTGTGGTTGTTTTGAAGGAGCGCAATATGATGACACTTGAACAAAAATGAGCTGCATGGTGGAGGTGCCAGAAAGAAGCCTTTACTGCATCAATGACACAAGAAGGCCCGGTTAGGCATGTCAAGGTGTTGTCAGGCATATTGTAACCGGGCTTTTTTGTAGCATTGGTGCAGTAAAAGCTTCTTTCTGGCACCTCCACCAAACAGCTCATTTTTGTTCAACTATCACCGTATTGTACTCCCTAAAAACAACCACACCATCTTTTTTCCAAAGGTTCCCTGTGGGGTTTTTCTTTGAATCCCAGACAATTCTTCTGTCAGTTATGGCTGCAATCTTTCTTGGTCTGTCTGACCTTGGCTTGGTATCAAGAGATCCCCGAACTTTCCACTTTTAATAGGTGATTTAACAGCACTGATTGGCATATTCAAGGCTTTGGACATCTTTTTTTGTCCTTTTCCATCTTTATAAAGTTCCCGTACCTTGTTACACAGGACTTTTGACAGTTCTTTTCTGCTCCCCATGGCTCAGTATCTAGCCTAGTCAGTGCTTCCACGTAAGAGCTAACAAACTCATTGACTATTTATACACTGACACTAATTGCAATTTAAAAAGCCACAGATGTGGGATATTAACCTCCAATTGGCATTTTAACCCGTGTGTGTCACCTTGTGTGTCTGTACCAAGGCCAAACATTCCAGGGGGCGGAGACTTCTGATTCGGGGGGCGGGACTTCTGATCCGGGGCAGGGACTTTTGATCCTGGCCATTTGGGTGATTTCTGTTATTATTATTTAAAAAGGAGCCCAACAACTATGTGATAATAAATGGCTTCATATGATCATCATCCTTCAATAAAAGAGCATTTTTTGGCATGATCAGTCAGATTTTCAATATCAATGCCAAAATGTCACAATTTCTGCCAGGGGAGGAAAACTTTTGAGCACAACTGTATCTATGTGTGCCTCTGGTCTATCGATTATGTTTATATATGAGTATGTTTTTCAATATTCACCAACATATCACTTATAATTTCAGGTTTTCCCAATGTCACAGTGGCCCCATCATGCGACCTGGAAACCTCTCGTGGTCCCATAGTGCAGAAAAAAGACCCTCCCACCCTCCTGTCCATCCTCAGCGAGAGCGTCATGGACTCCCAGGTAACGGGCAAATTGTTTAGGCTTAAAGAAGAACTCCGGGATAGGAAAAAAAAAAAATCACCCATTGGTACATTCCTCTGCACAAAACAATAAACAGCTATTACAGTTTTTTGAAATCCTTACCATTTAGGAGAAAAGTCTAACTGAATTTTCATGAGCTCAACTCTGTATTTCAAAAGATAACTGCATCTGCTCTGCCGAGGAGGAAGTGGAACAACCGGGATGACATCATATCCTCTCCTCTCTCTTTGCAGTAAAAGGAAACTACAGTATCCATCATCCACAGGGAATTGTAGTGAATGTGGGCGGGTACACTAGGCTTGTACATGTTGAATGTGTCTGAGAGTCTTGGTCTGCCCACCACTGCAAGTGGGGCTGAATGACACCACGGCTTTCTGGAGAGAAAGAACTACAGGAGGGATGTTTCAAGACCGGTGGCTGGGGGAATAAGAGGCAGAGCAGCCCGTACTGGTCTTACAAACAGGAAGCCAAAGAGAATTAACGGTTTGATTCAACCACTTCAATACCGGGCACTTTTACCCCTTCCTGCCCAGGCCATTTTCCAGGTTTCAGCGCTCTCACACTTTGAATGACAATTGAGCGGTCATACAACATTGTACCCAAACTAAAATTTTATAATTTTCTTCACACAACTAGAGCTTTCTTTTGGTGGTATTTAATCATCGCCGGGGTTTTTATTTTTTTGCTAAATTAACAAAAAAAAAAGTCCGAAACGTTTGAAAAAAAACCCATGTTTTTCTTTGTTTCTGTTTTAAAAGTTTGCAAATAAATAATTGTTCATAAATTTAGGCCGAGATGTATTCTGCTACATGTCTTTGGTGAAAATAACCCAAATTAGGATGTATTTTTTAGTTTGTAGGAAAGTTATAGAGTTCACAAACTATGGGATAGATCTGAATATTGATCAATCCTGAAGTACTGACGGCCAATCTAATTTCTTGAGGTCCAAGAATGTCAGAACAGTACAAATATCCCCCAAATGTCAGAACAGTACAGATATCCCCCAAATGTCAGAACAGTACAGATATCCCCCAAATGTCAGGACAGTACAGATATCCCCCAAATGTCAGAACAGTACAGATATCCCCCCCCCAAATGTCAGGACAGTACAGCTATCCCCCCAAATGTCAGGACGGTACAGCTATCCCCCCAAATGTCAGGACGGTACAGCTATCCCCCCAAATGTCAGGACGGTACAGCTATCCCCCCAAATGTCAGGACGGTACAGCTATCCCCCCAAATGTCAGGACGGTACAGCTATCCCCCCAAATGTCAGGACGGTACAGCTATCCCCCCAAATGTCAGGACGGTACAGCTATCCCCCCAAATGTCAGGACGGTACAGCTATCCCCCCAAATGTCAGGACGGTACAGCTATCCCCCCAAATGTCAGGACGGTACAGCTATCCCCCAAATGTCAGGACGGTACAGCTATCCCCCAAATGTCAGGACGGTACAGCTATCCCCCAAATGTCAGGACGGTACAGATATCCCCCAAATGTCAGGACGGTACAGATATCCCCCAAATGTCAGAACGGTACAGATATCCCCCAAATGTCAGAACGGTACAGATATCCCCCAAATGTCAGAACGGTACAGATATCCCCCAAATGTCAGAACGGTACAGATATCCCCCAAATGTCAGAAACGGTACAGATATCCCCCCAAATGTCAGGACGGTACAGATATCCCCCCAAATGTCAGGACGGTACAGCTATCCCCCAAATGTCAGAACAGTACAGATATCCCCCAAATGTCAGAACAGTACAGATACCCCCCCAAATGTCAGGACGGTACAGCTATCCCCCAAATGTCAGGACGGTACAGCTATCCCCCAAATGTCAGGACAGTACAGATATCCCCCAAATGTCAGGACAGTACAGATATCCCCCAAATGACCCCTTTTTGCAAAGTAGACAGTGCAACGTACTTTATTAGAGGCACCAGTGCAGTACAGCATCATCATATAACTGGCATGGCGGTGATCAGGGACACTACTGGTGACAGTATAAAAAAAAAATAATTTTTTTTCTATTTTTTTTTATTATTTTTAATTTTTATTACTTTTTTTTTAAGCTTTTTTTTTCATATTTCACTATGACCAAAGTAGTACAATGTTACCATAGTAAGTGATCAGTATTTTTTTTTTTTTTTTTATACACAATTTGTTTATAGCAGAGAATTAGTTTTTGCTCTAAGGGGTAGGCAGTTGGTGGTGGGATGGGTAATTCCTGGAGTTCAGCTCTAACAGACTAATCAACATACTTATTTCCTGATAATATATGAGATTTAGTTTAAATGTACAACTGAAAGTTTATAATTAGAAATATACGATTTAGGCTCTTAATGAAGTGGATGAGAGTCGGTCAGAAGACAGCGATGATGATGAAGTGGACGTTTCCATTACTTTCCAGCCCAGCCTTACCACTGACAGGTGAGTTGTCTTCTGTACGTTTTATTTCGGCTGTATATAGTGAACATTTAGATTGAAAACTGTATGTGAGATGCTGTATTATGGGCAGTTATTAGTTTGTAAATTCCACATTTTTAGTGAGAGTGATGGCTCCCTGGAAGGCAGAGGCTTTACTGGGGAGAAGAAAAAGTTGGGTCTTTTCTCATTCACTTTTTTTTCATTTTTTTGTACACATGGTAAAATCTGCATTTTTGTCTAGAAAAAACTTCACGCAGGGGTGTTTTCAATGCTTTTTTACTAGTTTTCTGTTTTTCATTTATTTACATTTTTTAATGTATGTATGTGATAGCATTGGGCAGGTGACAGGTACTCCTTTTTGCCTTTATGTAGATATCAGGGGTCTATTAGACCCCTAATGTCTCTCCTGTTCTCTGCTTCAGCTGATGGAGAATTGACAGCTCTATCCACTGTTCACCCAGATTTGCAGCCTCATTTTGACAGCTCTGAACCCAGAAGTGCTCGGTGCTCAATATCCTCCCCACTCCCCATCCTGATAGTGCTTTTTGTGGTGCCAGAAGGAGCAGGAGGGCCTGAGAACCTTGCACCTTGTTAGTCCCATAAAAAGGTGATCGTGTGGCTCTACGGCTGCCAGATCGTTTTTACTAAATGGCTGACAGCCTGCTGCACAAAATACATACACGTTTATGGCTGTTATTACAGGTCTCCTCACCCCCCCCCTCACTCCCACCCCCACTCTACCCCACCCCCACTCTACCCCACCCCCTCTACCCCTACCCCCACCCCCCCCCACTCTACCCCACCCCCTCTCTACCCCACCCCCTCTCTACCCCACCCCCTCTCTACCCCACCCCCTCTCTACCCCACCCCCTCTCTACCCCACCCCCTCTCTACCCCACCCCTCACCCCCTCTCTACCCCCCCACCTCACCCCCTCTCTACCCCACCTCACCCCCCACCCTACCCCACCTCACCCCCCCCCACCCTACCCCACCCCCTCTCTACCCCACCCCTCACCCCCACCCCCTTACCCCACCTCACCCCCACCCTACCCCACCTCACCCCCACTCTACCCCCCCCTACCACCTCACCCCCACTCTACCCCACCCCCACACCCCCACTCTACCCCCACCTCACCCCCACCCCACTCTACCCCACCCCACCCCACTCTACCCCCACTCTACCCCACCCCACCCCCCCACTCTATAACTGGACAGTGAAAGGAACATCAATAGATGATGATGAGCTCATCTTTCTTTCACTCTGCTCTCTCTCCTATCAGCACGCTCCTTGCACTGCAGCACGACCGATTGGCTACTTGTGCTGCTTCTCCTTTCCCCATCTCTGAGCTCTGCTGTATTGCAAGAGGCTGATACCAGGTTAAAATCCATTTAATGACGCACTAATGATTGCAGAGCTGCATTATTGGGTACTTTCATATCTGCCTGAAGATCAGCTTTGATTAGCACACTGTGAGGGTCCTGTGTGATATGAGTTTTGCCAACCTGCTTCCAGGGTTTACCAGATAATAAATGAAGAGAGTTCCCATCCAGAGTCTCATCACCAACCAACAGGGAAAGAAGTCGATGCAGATAACCCATTTGTGACACCCAAAAGCTCGGGTCACCCCACAAACGGCCAGATGGGTGAGTTGGATTAAAGTCGCTTACTGGTAGGGGATCAAGTGATAAATAAAGCTCTTTTATACCGTAACATTTTCTTGCAGCATTAAATGCCACCACAGCAGTAAAGAAGGTCAAAAGCCGCCTGAAGGAGGGAGAGCAAGTAGAACCTGAAGATCCAAAATGTGTAATTGGCAGAATACTGAACCCCAACCCCCCAAACCACCATCGGGTGCCAGCAAAAGGTGAGGGTCCATCTGTGTCCCAAGGATTAAGTATTGTGCAAGGGGAGTTCTTCTTACTACTTGGAGTACCAAGACAAACGTAGAATATGGTGATTTAAAGCGGAGCTCCACCCAAAAGGGGAAGTTCTGCTTTAATGCCTTGACCCCGCTCCCCATTAAGGATTGGCACCTTTTGGGGAGCGGGTACCTGAATTTGACAGGTTTCCGCTGCCGATCACCTAGGCGATCGGAAGCGGAGGTTGTCCTCCCTCCCCGTAGTCTTGTGGGACACGTGACAGGTCCCAGAAGGCTACAGGGCCATTCACGAAGTGCAGCGCTTCTGGCGCATGCGCATTAGGCACCCGGCTGTGAAGCCGCAAGCTGTCACAACCGGGTGCCCACACTGAAGATGCCGGCGCCAGGGAGAGAAGACGGCTGGTGAAACCAGCGGTGGTGAGGACACCGCTGGACCGAGGGACAGGTAAGTGGCTGTATTTTTAAAGCCAGCAGCTACAGTTTTTGTAGTTGCTTTTTTTTTTTTTTTTTTTTTTTTTTTTAGGTGGAACTCCGCTTTAACTTTACTTGCTGTCCCCTTGATATGATGGAAATTCCCCTCAAAGAGGCTCAGCTTTCAAACCTTAAAGCTGAAATTTAATCTGCTTATATTTTGCCTTCACTGGTACCCCCCACCCCAGACCCTCTACCCCCCTCATCAACATTCTAATTACATTTATAAATAAAACCTTCCAGTTTTCATTGTGTATTTTATTTTAGACCCAGTGATGTCATCTTTGGGTCTTTGTGCTTCTCTATGCAATGTTGGTAGGTTGTGGCTGGTGGGAGGGGCCGTCGGGGTCCTGTGCATAGTTTCCCGAAAAGATCACCGCACCCTGCCTTGGTACTCCTCTCAAGAGCCTTCAGCTGTGATTCAAGCAGTGGGCTGGCTCTTGGGAGGAGTTATGCAAATATCAATGTGCTGTGATGGAAGGATGTCCGACAGAGTGGGCGTTCCTAGATGGGCTGCCGCTCAAAACTCATTATTAAACCCCCCTGGCGGTGTTCCCGAGTGTAGCTCGGGGTAAAGTTTCAGCACCACAAGTGGTAACCCCCCCGAGCTACACTCAGGAATACACTGCAGCATTGCTCCGGGATCTCTTCTTCACTTACCTTGTCCTGCGCTCCCGCGATGTCCCCCCTGCAGTGTCCCTGGCAATGTCCTCCGGCCGATGCCGGCATCTGTCTTCTGGGTTCCGTTCCCTGTGACGTCGGGACGTACGGGGGACGGAACTGGCGGGAAATTAGAAAATTTTAAAAGTGACATTCACTAAATTACACTAAAATCACATAGTATAACATTCCTGTATCAAACCATTTCACATACATTGTGTCCCGAGTGCTTTGTCTGGCGCCCTGCCTGCATTTTTACTGTTCTTTCTGCCTGGAAACTGAGAAACGTCCATGGCGTCCAAAAAGCGTCCCTTTAGGTCAAACGCGGTTTTAGACCGGCTAGAGAGAACAGCGATAGTAAATCAGAACCACTTGCAGAATTGAGTGATAATGATTGGTGGGGGAAATTCCTCATCAGACACTGAAAACGATTCTGCGACTGAGCTCAGCGATGTGCGAACTTGGCGCTCTATTTCACATTTCAGTGTTTTTGGTTTGATTATATTATTGAATTACATTTATTATTATTATATTATTATTTTTTATGATTATTTATTAAATTATAATTTATGATTTCGTGTTTCCAGTTTTATCATCCCCGGGATGTTTACTAGACTCTTGTTCGGACAGATTTCAGGGAGTTATTACTAAGAATTACAGTTCTACAATAAAACACCAACATATTTCCATGCAAAAAAATGTACCGCTTTGAGCACAAAAATATGGACATAATCAGACGGCTAGGGAGGCTACAGTGATGCTAAAGTCTAATTTTTTTTTTATTCTTAAAAATAACAAACATAATATGCGCACCTGCTCCATTCCATGCAATACTTTTGCATAGAGTAGCCCAGATTCTCCTCCTTCTCGGGTTTCTGCCGGCACTCTTGTCCCCTCCCTCCTGTTTGGTGCCCCTATAGCAAACAGCTTGCTATGGGGGCCACCAAGTAGCAGTGGCTTTGCATGTCCATTCACACACACACACAGCCGTGGCTCAGACCTGCCTTGTCCTGTCCCTCTCCTGATTGGCTCACTGGCTGTGATTGATAGCAGTGGGAGCCCCTGGAGAACCGATGCTTTCGTGTACATCGCTGGATCAAGAGGGGGCTCAGGTGAGTGTTAGGGGGGGGCTGCTACACATGGGTTTTTTTTTTTTTTTACCTTTATGAGGTAATAAACCTTGAGATTTTAGAATCACGTTAATTCTTCTCCTGCTGAGGAGCGTAGTCCAATCAGTGATCACATGCAGAGTAGTAAGCAAGATGTCACTTCTGACATCATTGCGTACTACTTGTGAAATCTTTGAATGATCACAGAGATCACATGGTACAGGGCTATTCACAACAGCCTTGTACCATGTGACAAGCTGTGACCAATCACAGCTCACACAGTATTTCTCAATGGCTGCAAGAATGCAGCCAGAGAAAAGGAGAAATTATTGCTTTTACAGCCTTTATGGGTGTAAAGAGCAATCAGTGTAAAAAACAAAAAAAAAATCTTTATAACCCTCCACAAGTAGTACAGTGTTACCATGGTGACACTGTACTGCTTAGGTGACAGTATGTTAAAAAAAAAAAAAATATATATTAATAATAAAAAAAATTTTTTAGCAAAATTATAATTTTTGGTTATAAACTAATTTTGGGTTTTTTTTTTTTTTTTGCTAAAAAGATAACTGAATAAATTTTGGCTAAGATTTTTGAAGAAAGATTATTTGAAAAATCTTATAAGAAAAACACTTTTTTTCAAAATTTTTGGACTTTTTCATTTATATAGCAAAAAAATTAAAATCCCAGTGGTGTACAAATACCACCAAAATAAAGCTTTATCTGTCTCAAAAAAAAAAATGCTAAAAAAATTCATATGGGTACAGTGTTGCATGACTGCGCAATTGTCATTCAAAGTGTGATAGCGCTGTAAGCTGAAAAATGGCCTGGACAGGAAAGGGGGAAAAGTGTCCGGACTGGAAGGGGGGAAAGTGTCCGGACTGGAAGGGGGGGAAAAGTGTCCGGAGTGGAAGGGGGGGAAAGTGTCCGGACTGGAAGGGGGGTGAAAGTGTCCGGACTGGAAGGGGGGTGTGAAAGTGTCCGGACTGGAGGGGGGGTGAAAGTGTCCGGACTGGAAGGGGGGTGAAAGTGTCCGGACTGGAAGGGGGTGAAAGTGTCCGGACTGGAAGGGGGGGTGAAAGTGTGTCCGGACTGGAAGGGGGGTGAAAGTGTCCGGACTGGAAGGGGGGGGAAAGTGTCCGGACTGGAAGGGGGGGAAAGTGTCCGGACTGGAAGGGGGGGGGGAAAGTGTCCGGACTGGAAGGGGGGGGGAAAAGTGTCCGGACTGGAAGGGGGGGGGGAAAGTGTCCGGACTGGAAGGGGGGGGAAAGTGTCCGGACTGGAAGGGGGTGAAAGTGTCCGGACTGGAGGGGGGGTGAAAGTGTCCGGACTGGAGGGGGGGGTGAAAGTGTCCGGACTGGAAGGGGGGGGAAAGTGTCCGGACTGGAGGGGGGGGGAAAGTGTCCGGACTGGAGGGTGGGGGGTGGGGGGAAAGTGTCCGGACTGGACTGGAAGGGGGGGGGGGAAAGTGTCCGGACTGGAAGGGGGGGGAAAGTGTCCGGACTGGAGGGGGGGGGAAAGTGTCCGGACTGGAGGGGGGGGAAAGTGTCCGGACTGGGAGGGTGGGGGGAAAGTGTCTGGACTGGAAGGTGGGGGGAAAGTGTCTGGACTGGAAGGGGGGGAAAGTGTCTGGACTGGAGGGGGGGGGAAAGTGTCTGGACTGGAGGGTGGGGGGAAAGTGTCTGGACTGGAGGGGGGGGGAAAGTGTCCGGACTGAAAGGGGTTAAAGAGAACATCAGCATGACACTGTCATTTGTGAAACAATTTTCCTGTTTTAATTGAAGGCAAAAAAAGACGCTCTTCGCGGACCCCCACTAGTCACAGGGCGGAGTCGGTTTCTGCAGCCTCGACTTGTGAGCTGTCCAGTTGTAACCAGTCCAGTTTGGATGTCCTGAACCAGATGATGCAGGAGGTGGAGCTGGAATTGGAGGACCACGAGAGGCAGACAGGCCGGGAGGTGGACGCCATGCCAAAAGCTCAGGGATTGACGGGATTCACCATGTCTCTTGTTGGCTCCATACGGCGGCTGGTGACCTATCTGAAGGAGGTAAGACTAGAGCACACTTAGGGGTTGATTTACTAACACTGGAGAGTGCAAGATTTAGTGCAGCTGTTCATGGGAGCCAATCAGCTTCTAACTTCAGCTTTTTCAATTAAGCTTTGGCAATAAAACCTGGAAGCGGATTGGTGCGGCTTTGCATAGAAACTAATCCGCTTCCAGGTTTTATTGCCAAAGCTTAACCACTTCCCGTCCGGCCCATGTATATAAAAATGGCCGGACGGTGGCAGTGCAGGTGCGGGTGGCCGTTTATAAACGTCCTCTTCACTCCCTGCTTGTGCGCACTGGAGGGGGGATCTCCCTGGAAGCGCGCAGCACCGCAGTCCAGTGCCCGCTGTGTCCTCCGGACACAGTGGAACACCGATCGTTGTACAGGACTTCTGTGTTGGTCCCAATCATGTGATCACTGATTGGCCAATCAGTGATCACATGAAGAGTAGTGAGCAAGATGTCACTTCTGACATCATTGCTTACTACGTGTGAAATCTGTGAATGATCACAGAGGTCACATGGTACAGGGCTTATTCACAAGAGCCTTGTACCATGTGCCAAGCTGTGACCATCACAGTTCACACAGTATTTCTCAATGGCTGCAAGAATGCAGCCAGAGAGAAGGAGAAGTGATTGCTTTTACTAACCCATAAAGGCTGTAAAAGCAATCAGAGTAAAAAAAAAAAAAAAAAATCTTCATCACGCCCCCCCCAAAAGTAGTACAGTGTCACTATGGTGACAGTGTACTGTTGGGTGACAATTAAAAAAAAAAAAAAAAAAAAAAAAACATAATAGAAAAAATAAAATAAAAATGTAAAAAATAATTAGAAAAATTATAATTTTGGGTTATAAACTAATTTTGTTTTGTTTTTTTTACTAAAAAGATAATGGAATAAATTTGGCCAAGATTTTTGAAGAAAGATTATTTGCAAAATTTTATAAGAAAACATTTTTTTTTCAAAATTTTTGGACTTTTTCATTTATATAGCAAAAAAAAAAAAAATCCCAGCGGTGAATAAATACCACCAAAATAAATTTTTTATCTGTCTCAAAAATATGCTAAAAAATTCATATGGGTACAGTGTTGCATGACCGCGCAATTGTCATTCAAAGTGTGATAGCGCTGAAAGCTGAAAATTGGCCTGGACAGGAAGGGGGTGAAAGTGTCCAGACTGGAAGGGGGGTGAAAGCGTCCGGACTGTAAGGGGGGGTGAAAGCGTCCGGACTGTAAGGGGGGTGAAAGCGTCCGGACTGTAAGGGGGGTGAAAGCGTCCGGACTGTAAGGGGGGGTGAAAGCGTCCGGACTGTAAGGGGGGTGGAAAGCGTCCGGACTGGAAGGGGGGTGGAAAGCGTCCGGACTGGAAGGGGGGTGGAAAGCGTCCGGACTGGAAGGGGGTGGAAAGCGTCCGGACTGGAAGGGGGTGGAAAGCGTCCGGACTGGAAGGGGGTGGAAAGCGTCCGGACTGGAAGGGGGTGGAAAGCGTCCGGACTGGAAGGGGGTGGAAAGCGTCCGGGACTGGAAGGGGGTGAAAGCGCCCGGTCTGGAAGGGGGGTGGAAAGCGCCCGGTCTGGAAGGGGGGTGGAAAGCGCCCGGACTGGAAGGGGGGGTGGAAAGCGCCCGGACTGGAAGGGGGGTGGAAAGCGCCCGGACTGGAAGGGGGTGGAAAGCGCCCGGACTGGAAGGGGGTGGAAAGCGCCCGGACTGGAAGGGGGTGGAAAGCGTCCGGTCTGGAAGGGGGGTGGAAAGCGTCCGGTCTGGAAGGGGGGTGGAAAGCGTCCGGTCTGGAAGGGGGTGGAAAGCGTCCGGTCTGGAAGGGGGTGGAAAAGTGTCCGGTCTGGAAGGGGGGTGGAAAGCGTCCGGTCTGGAAGGGGGGTGGAAAGCGTCCGGTCCCTGGAAGGGGGTGGAAAGCGTCCGGTCTGGAAAGGGGGGAAAGTGTCCAGACTGAAAGGGGGTGGAAAGTGTCCGGACTGGAAGTGGTTAATTGAACAAGCTGAAGTTAGAAGCTGATTGGCTGCCATGCACAGCTGCACCAGATTTTGCACTCTCCAGTTTTAGTAAACCAACCCCACAGTGACTACTCATCTCCCAGTTTGTCTGCAATTATTATTTTTGTTTTATTAATTTATACGCTTTTTTTTTTTCTGTGCATACACAGTGCAAAGTTCTGGAGAACTTCCGGAGATGAACCCTTTAATGACCAAGGTTCTTGATGCTTAACTGTCCAGGCCATTTATTGCACAGTTGCACTGTTTTTGTTTTTTTTAATTGCGGTTTGACAAATATGGAAAGATGAGAACAAAATTTGTTTATTACATTTATTTTTGAGTGGCTTTCAAAGCATAAAACAGATGGCACAGCAGATGCCACTGCAGCATGAAGGTGGCTGCACCATCCTCAAGCTGAAGGATTTTTTTTTTTTTTTTAATGGTACAATTATTACATTTTCGAGACAGAAAAAAAATAAGGTTAATTAAATATTCAGTATTGTCTGTTAAACAATTATAATACAAGTAAAAAAAAAAAAAGGGATGAGATGTCAAGGTATTGAAAGTAATAATAAATGATAATGTGATGGTAGGAAATCCTCTATAAAGATCGCTCTGCCACAGGAAAGGAAATAAAGGAAAGCCAATAGCATAATACCACTAAAACCCATTTATTATAAAACCAGTAATATGCTCACAAAATGATAGTTATTGGATGCCCACATCAATATTCCCCGCAAAAGGTATTATCGTGTTAGCAGCGTCTCACCCGACCATCCTCGCTAACCGCGAGCGGCACGTCACTTCCAGCGGGGGATGTGAGGTGGATGCTGGTTGTAAGCAATCGTTGTGCGACCCGACCCGGACGAGTTTCGCCACCTGACTTTGTCAAAGGCTTGGTCACACGGCACGACATAACTGCTTAAATAGCTTCCTGCCACTTATCTTTAACCCCCATATCCTCCGGACGTCACCGAAGGCATGACGAGAAAGAGCTCTTTCATGTCATGCCTTTCGGTGATGTCCACCACATTGTCACACTCCAATGTAAATTTCATTCTTTCATTTCTCACCTTCACTTTTGCAACTCCCTCCTCGTTGCTCTCCCTCTACACAGTCTTTCTCCACCCCATTCAGTCCATTATGGATGCTGCTGCCAGACTCATCCACCTTACAAACCGTTCGGTGTCCACCATCCCACTCTGCAGATTCCCCCCTGTGACGGGAGTCACCTTGGGTGGGGGGGCCCATGGAGCCCAGCTCACTTTGGAAATGTGGGGAGGCCCCTGTCTCAGCCCCCCATATCCCTATTATGTGTAAGTCACCCTGTGCCTGTTAGGGGTACAGGGGGATCTGTCCTAATATTGTGTGGGCTTTATCTCAGACTGCGTAGACATGTCTAGGAGAGAGGTGGGGTGGGGGTTGTGGATTGTTTGACGTCATGTGGTTGCATCCCATTGTTGTATTGTGTGTCTGGCTTGGGAGCAAACTATTATGGGATGTATAGGTTTATGTGTATTAGCTTAGTGGGGTGGGGGGTGTCTCCAGCAGTCCTCCCTCCTGATGGACTGTCTGCTGGTGTGAAGTTTGAATACCCGTGTGTCTCTTGTTACTAAATGTAGATTGCCCCTCCCTGTGTCATTATGCAGGGAGGGGGGATTATCCCTTGAATGTATATATCTTGTATCTGTGTTCAAATAAACTAGTCTACTTCCTGGTTTACTTCAGGAGGGGGGGTGTGGAGGCAAAGAGAGCAAGCAAAGAGAGGTTTGGGGTGTGGAGGCGAGCAAAGAGAGGTTTGGGGTGTGGAGGTGAGCAGGTGGAGAGCTCAGGATTGGGAAAGCTGCCTCCCCCCCACCACTGCTTTGCACTGCACTGTGCCGACCGATCTCTGGCTGTTGTGATATTCGGCAGAGCGGCAGTTCGGTCAGATCTGACCGCTTGTTCAAGCTGGATGCCACGGCACCCCTGAAGACCTCAGGCGGCACCCCGGTTGCGAGACACTGTGATAGCTCGTGTCAAAAATGCTTTTGATCTATAAATAATAATACCTCAGTGTGGCCCATCATAGGAGACAATTCGGGAAGCTGTTCAATTGTTCATCAATTACCAATCGCTATGAATGGATTTGTAGCTGGAGCTGCGTGGCATTTCTGATGAGAGGTCATGTGACGTATTCCTTTCTTGCAGGGGGACCGGCAGTTGCACCAGGAAATTGTGCAGCGTCAGCGCTTGCAGGAGGAGCTCGGTGAGCAGAGGCTGCTGATTGATGCGCTTACAGCTGAAATTCTCTCCATAAAAGAAAACTGCTCTATGTCTCCGGTAATCTCCGATTTCATCTTTTATAAATGACGACTTGTCGAGGATATAAAACTGAGCCGACATTTACAAACTTCATTCAAAGCTGAAGTCTAATCTGATTTTTTTTTTTTTTTTTTTTTTTAACTTTCCCTGGTTCCTCCTTTTCCTCTTCATTAACATGCCAGTGAAATGTTTAAATAAAACCTTTCTGTCTTTTCATTGCAAACCTTCATTCAGGGCTTAAAATGTCAAGTCCTGGGGTACTAGCCAGGCCTTAGAGTTACTAGCCACCAACAAAACACACACAACACAGACAAAGACTTGTACATACACACACACATACATACACACACACACAACACATACAAACACACAGACACATGTACACAGACACACACACACAGAGACACATGTACACACACACACACACATGTACACACACACACACACACATGTACAACAACACACAGACACATGTACACACACACACACACGTACACACAGACACATGTACACACACACGTACACACAACACATGTACACAGACACACACACACATGTACACAGACACGTACACACAGACACATGTACACAGACACACACACACATGTACACAGACACACATGTACACACACACACACAGATACATGTAACACACACACATGTACATATGTACACACACACGTACACACACACACACACACACATGACACAGACACACACAGAGACACATGTACACAGACACACACAGAGACACATGTACACAGTAACCAACACACAGAGACACATGTACACAACACACACCACACACACACATGTACACACACGTACACACACACACAGACACACACACACACACACATGTACACACACACACACATGTACATACAGACACACATGTACACACACACACACAGACACATGTATACACACACACATGTACATACACACACACAAAACACACAGACACATGTACACACACACACACGTACACACAGACACATGTACACAGACACACACACACACACACATGTACACACACACACACACACACATGTACACAGGCACACAGACACATGTACACAGACACACACACACAGACACATGTACACACACAGAGACACATGTACACAGACACATGTACACACACACACACACACACACACACACACACACACATACTGACACATGTATACACACACAGGCACGTACAGACATGCATACACACAGATACATCTACATACACAGAAATACACACACACAGACACATGTACATACATACACACATGACACATGTACACACAGACACATGTACGTACACACACACGTACATGCACAACACACACACACACATGTACACACACATACATGTACATACACGCAGACACATGTACAGATAAACACATGTACAGGGGCGGACTGACAACTCATGGGGGGGGGGGGGGGGGGGGGGGGGGGGGGCCCCCCGGGCAATAGGGGATCATGGGGCCCCTTTGTCCCTCGCCCACAGCCAAAAAAAGCCTATGAAAAAGCCAATGAAAGGTACCAGAGGCATCTCATGGGGCCCCCTACTGAGCCTGGGCCCTCGGGCAGTGCAGACACATGTACAATTGTACATGCATACACAAACACACACACATGTACACGTACATACACACACAGACACCCCCATAAAAAGTTGCAGTACTTCGTTGTTCACTCACAGAGCCAGGTACTGCACTCTATGGGGGAGGCAGAGAGCACAGCACACACTCCTTTCCTTTGCTTTCACTGCGCTCAGCTATTGAGAGCAGTCTGACGGCTCCCAGTGCCAATGACAGATCCGGCCTGAGCTCCGAGCCTGCTCAGCAAGATGGCCCTGGGGGACACACTCGCCCCCCACCATAATTTCCACTCGCCATTGGCGAGCGGGCAAGTGGAAATTTCAAGCCCTGCCTTAATTTATACACAGTGATATAATTCCTGGGTCCCTGTGCTCCTCTATGCATCGCAGGCAGTTCACTGTGAGAAGCTCACAGAGTGCAGTGAAATCAGAGTAAGCCATTTCAGTCCAGGAGAGGAGCCGGTACACCTGTGTAACACCGCAGGGAAGGCTGGAGGGAGGATTTGAACTCTTCAGCTCTTTGCGTGTGTTTTGTTTGTCCCAAGTCTGAGGAGGTTAAACAAGCTCACAGCTCAGCAGGCATTGGTCGTTTTGTGTAAAAGTGATGTGGGCAACTGTAGAGCCACCTAATCACTTTTACATGTTTGTGGGGTGCCAGAGGATCTTCTCTGGTATTGAACTTGAGCTCTGCTTGTTTTTGTCAGTGAAAACAGAACTGTCATTGTCCGCAGCACAGAGTGTGTTGGGAGAAAGGTGAGCAGGAAGGAGGAGTCCTCCAGCAGTGAGAGTTGTAGAGGAAGGACGGAGTCCTCCCAGCAGCGCAGAGTATTTCAGGAGAGGAGAGTTATAGAGGAAGGAGCGGAGTCCTCCGGCAGAGCAGAGTATTTCAGGAGAGGAGAGTTTATAGAGGAAGGAGCGGAGTCCTCCAGCAGTTGCAGAGTATTTCAGGAGAGGAGAGTTTATAGAGGAAGGAGCGGAGTCCTCCGGCAGAGCAGAGTATTTCAGGAGAGGAGAGTTATAGAGGAAGGAGCGGAGTCCTCCAGCAGCGCAGAGTATTTCAGGAGAGGAGTTTATAGAGGAGAAGGAGCGGAGTCCTCCAGCAGTGCAGAGTATTTCAGGAGAGGAGAGTTATAGAGGAAGGAAAGGAGCGGAGTCCTCCAGCAGCGCAGAGTATTTCAGGAGAGGAGTTATAGAGGAAGGAGCGGAGTCCTCCAGCAGCGCAGAGTATTTCAGGAGAGGAGAGTTTATAGAGGAAGGAGCGAGTCCTCCAGCAGAGCAGAGTATTTCAGGAGAGGAGAGTTATAGAGGAAGGAGCGGAAGGAGTGGGAGTCCTCCAGCAGTGCAGAGTATTTCAGGAGGAGAGTTATAGAGGAAGGAGCGGAGTCCTCCAGCAGTGCAGAGTATTTCAGGAGAGGAGTTATAGAGGAAGGAGCGGAGTCCTCCAGCAGTGCAGAGTATTTCAGGAGAGGAGAGTTATAGAGGAAGGAGCGGAGTCCTCCAGCAGCGCAGAGTATTTCAGGAGAGGAGAGTTATAGAGGAAGGAGCGGAGTCCTCCAGCAGAGCAGAGTAATTTCAGGAGAGGAGAGTTATAGAGGAAGGAGCGGAGTCCTCCGGCAGCGCAGAGTATTTCAGGAGAGTTTATAGAGGAGGAGTCCTCCAGCAGCAGCAGAAGTAATAGAAGTATTTCAGGAGAGGAGAGTTACAGAGGAAGGAGCGGAGTCCTCCAGCAGAGCAGAGGTAGGAGCGGAGTTTCAGGAGAGGAGAGTTATAGAGGAAGGAGCAGAACCCTGTTGGCCACATCTGGACCACTAGGAAATCTTTCTCTGGCCTGCAACTAGGGTCAGTGTCATATCCTTAGATGGATGGTTCAAATCAGTTGGTTTCCACTACTGGGGGGGAACCCTGATTTTAAATGGGGATCCTGACGGGGACCCTAATGTAAGGAGAGACTCTGGGGGCCCTGATGTAAAGGAATACTCTAATGAGGACAGTGGTGTAAGAGAGGACCGTGTTGTAAGGGGGGACCCTGATGTAAGGGGGAAAATGATGGGAACTCTGATGGGGACCCTGATGTTAAGAGAGACACTGATGGGGACCCAGATGAAAGTTGAACCCTGTTGTAAGGGGGGCTCTGATGGGGGCCCTAATAAAAGGGGGGCTCTGATGGGCGCCCTAATAAAAGGGGGACCCTGATATAAAGAGAGACTCTCTGAGGACCCAACTCTAAGGACTGACTCTGGTGGAGACCCTGATATAAGAAGGGACTCTGATGGGGACCATACTATAAGGTGGGACTCTGATGGGGAACCTGATGTAAAGGGAGACCCTGATGTTTGGGGGAACTCTGATAAGATACAGTTCATGTTCGTATCATTCATTTATAAAACTGATTTTCGTCACATGAATATTTTTGTAAAATATACGCTGTGGCCCTCATACTGAAGTGTATGGAGCCCCCCGGGTGTAGAGGAGGGCGCAGGAGCCCCCCGAGTGTAGAGGAGGGCGCAGAGCCCCCCGGGTGTAGAGGAGGGCGCAGAGCCCCCCGGGTGTAGAGGGGGGCGCAGAGCCCCCCGGGTGTAGAGGGGGGCGCAGAGCCCCCCGGGTGTAGAGGGGGGCGCAGAGCCCCCCGGGTGTAGAGGGGGGCGCAGAGCCCCCCGGGTGTAGAGGAGGGCGCAGAGCCCCCCGGGTGTAGAGGAGGCGCAGAGCTGGGTGTAGAGGAGGGCGCAGAGCCCCCCCGGGGTGGAGGGCGCAGAGGGGGGGGGGCAGAGCCCCCCGGGTGTAGAGGAGGGCGCAGAGCCCCTCCGGTGTAGAGGGGGGCGCAGAGCCCCCCGGGTGGTAGAGGAGGGCGCAGAGCCCCCCCGTGTGTAGAGGGGGCGGCGCAAGCCCCCCGGAGGGTAGTGAGGGGGGCGCAGAGCCCCCCCGGGTGGAGGGGGCGAGCAAGAGCCCCCCCGGGTGTGGAGGAGTGCGCAGAGACCCCCCGGGTGTAGAGGAGGGCGCAGAGCCCCCCGGGTGTAGAGGAGGGCGCAGAGCCCCCCCGGTGTAGAGGGGGGCGCAGAGCCCCCCGGGGTGTAGAGGAGGGCAGAGCAGGAGCGCAGAGCCCCCCGGGTGTGGGGGTTAGAGGGGGGCGCAGAGGAGGGGCGCAGAGCCCCCCGGGTGTAGAGGGGGCGCGCAGAGCCCCCCGGGTGTAGAGGAGGGCGCAGAGCCCCCCGGGTGTAGAGGAGAGGGCGCAGAGCCCCCCGGGTGTGAGAGGAGGGCGCAGAGCCCCCCCCAGCAGTGCAGGGTATTTCAGGAAGGAAGATTTTGATAGAGAAAGATTATATAACAGAATGTAATTATTCCAGACTGCATTCATCTTGTCCTCTCTTGTGTTCATTCCCTCAGCTCAGTCAGCAGTCAGTGTCGGATCATTCACCGTCTCCCTCTGTGGAAGCACTAAAAGCTCCTCCTGCATGTAAATCGGATCAGAGAAGAACCTCGGAGAGTTCCTTGTCTGCCCAATCGCTGAGTATGGTGACTGAGCTTGGTGAGTTATTTTCTGGAGCGCCCCCCCTAACCCCCCCCCCCCGAGGTGCTCCATACAAGTGGGAGGAGATAAAACAATACAGAAAATGTTCCACAGAACAGTACATACAGTACAGGTTGTTCAGCAAATCGGCGGTGACAGAGGTGCAGGGGGGGGGAACCCGTGACTTATCTGTTAGGTGTCAGGGAGCCCCCACTATTAGTAATGACTGTATTACAGCTCATAGTGTGAACAGCAGACTGACACCTCGGGTTGCTCTATACAGCAAGCAGCAGTGGGTGGATTTACTAAAGGCAAATAGACTGGGCACTTTGTAAGTGCAGTTGCTCCAGAGCTTAGTAAATGAGGGGAAGCTCTGCTGACTTCCATCATCCAATCGGGCGCAAGTAAAAAGCTGCTGTTTTTATTTTCCCTGCATGTGATTGGGTGTTCTTTTAAAAGCAAAGCTTTACCTCATTTACAACCCCATAATTAAAATCTAAAAATCAGACCCCAGCTCAGCCCTCACACCCCCGTGCGTCCATTGTGCGTCCATTTCGTTCCATTGTGCGTCCACTGTGCGTCCATTGTGCGTCCATTGTGCGTCCACTGTGGGCGGGGGTAGGCAACCTTCTACAGGTTTAGATCTACCTGGAGAACATGGAGGAAATCAAAGATCTCTGGAGGAGCTCGGCACCCCCCTTAGTTTTATTGTTTTGTTTAAAAAAAATAAAAAATCAAGCCCCAATCATGAAGAACATGTAGTGTCCCTCCTCTCCCCCCACAGTAGTGTCCTCTCCCGCCTCCCCACAGTAGTGTCCTCCCCCCCACAGTAGTGTCCTCCTCCCCCCCTTACACAGTAGTGGTCTTCTCCCCCCCCCCCCCACCCCCCCCCACAGTAGTATGTCCCCCCCCCCCCCCCCACAGTAGTAGTGTCCTACCCCAACAGTAGTGTCCTCTCTCCCCCCCCCCCCACAGTCCCTCTCTCCCCCCCCCCCCCACAGTAGTGTCCTCTCTCCCCCCCCCCCCACAGTAGTGTCCTCTCCCTCCCCCCCCCACAGTAGTGTCCTCTCCCCCCCCCCCCACAGTAGTGTCCTCTCCCCCCCCCCCCACAGTAGTGTCCTCCTCTCCCCCCCCCCCACAGTAGTGTCCTCTCTACCCCATCCCCCCCCCCCCCACAGTAGTGTCCTCTTTCCCCCACCCCCCACACAGTAGTGTCCTCTTCCCCCCCCCCCCCCACAGTAGTATCTCTCCCCCCCACTGGAGGAGCCTGAGGCACCCCCTTGGTAGTGTGTTTTGTTTAAAAAATAAGTAAAAATGTTCAAGCCCCCAATCATGAAGAAACATGTAGTGTCCTCTCCCCCCCACAGTAGTGCTCCTCTGCCCCTCCCCCACAGTAGTGTCCTCCTCTGCCCCCCCCCACAGTAGTGTCCTCTTCTCCCCCCCCACAGTAGTGTCCTCTCCTCTCCCCCCCCCACAGTAGTAGTGTCCTCTCTTCCCCCCCCCCACAGTAGTGTCCTCTTTCCTCCCCCCCCCCCACAGTAGTGTCTTCTCCCCCCCTCTTCCCCCCCCCCCCCACAGTAGTGTCCTCTTCTCCCCCCCCCCCACAGTAGTGTCCTCTTACACCCCCCCCCCACAGTAGTGTCACTTCCCACCCCCCCCCCCAGTACGTGTCAACCTCCTACACCCCCCCCCCCCCCACAGTAGTGTCCTCTTCCCCCCCCACAGTAGTGTCCATTCCCCCCCCCCCCCCCCAAAGTAGTGTCCTCAATTTCCAACCCCCCCCCCCCCTCAGTAGTGTCCTCTTTCCCCCCCCCCCCCCCTCAGTAGTGTCCCTCCCCCCCCCCCCCTCAGTAGTGTCCTCTTTCCCCCCCCCCCCCCTCAGTAGTGTCCTCTTTCCCCCCCCCCCCCCAGTAGTGTCCTCTTTCCCCCCCCCCCCCCCCCCCCCTCAGTAGTTGTTCCTCTTTCCCCCCCCCCCCCCCACAGTAGTGTCCTCTTTCCCCCCCCCCCTCAGTAGTGTCCTCTTCCCCCCCCCCCCCCACAGTAGTGTCCTCTTCCCCCCCCCCCCACAGTAGTGTCCTCTCCCCCCCCCCCCCCCCCACAGTAGTGTCCTCTTCCCCCCCCCCCCACAGTAGTGTGCTCTCCCCCCCACAGTAGGGTCCAGTGTCCTTCCTCCCCCCCCACAGTAGTGTCCTCCCCCCCCCCCAGTAGTGTCCTCTTCCCCCCCCCACAGGTAGTGTCCTCTTTCCCCCCCCCACAGTAGTGTCCTCTTCCCCCCCCCACAGTAGTGTCCTCTTTCCCCCCCCCCCCCCCTCTTTCCCCCCCCCCCCCACAGTAGTGTCCTCTTCCCACCCCCCCCCCACAGTAGTGTCCTCTTTCCCCCCCCCCCACAGTAGTGTCCTCTTTTCCCCCCCCCCCCACCAGTAGTGTCCTCTTCCCCCCCCCCCCACAGTAGTGTCCTCTTCCCCCCCCCCCCCCACAGTAGTGTCCTCTTCCCCCCCCCCCCACAGTAGTGTCCTCTCCCCTCCCCCCCATCCCACACAGTAGTTATCCTCTTCCTTCCCCCCCCCACAGTAGTGTCCTCCCCCTTCCCCCCCCCCACAGGGTGTTTTTTAGTGTGCTCTCTCCCCCCCCCCACATAGTTTCCCACCCCTCTTCCCCCCCACAGTAGTGTCCTCTTTCCCCCCCCACAGTAGTGTCCTCTTCCCCCCCCCCCCACAGTAGTGTCCTTTCCCACATGTCCTCGGCCCCCCCCAGATGTCCCCCCCTCTTTCTCCCCCCCACAGTAGTGTCCCTCTTCCCCCCCCCCACAGTAGTGTCCTCTTCCCCCCCCCTCACATGTACCCCTTCCCTGCCCGTGTCCTCTCTTCCCCCCCCCCACAGTAGTGTCCTCTTCCCCCCCCCCCCACAGTAGTGTCCTCCCCCTTCCCCCCCCCCCACACAGTAGTGTCCTCTTCCCCCCCACTCCCACTGTAGTGTCCTCTTCCCCCCCCCCACAGTAGTGTCCTCTATTCCCCCCCCCCCACACAGTAGTGTCCTCTTTCCCTTCCCCACAATAGTGTCCACTTCGCCCCCCCATCACAGTTATTGTCCTCTTCCCCCCCCCCACAGTAGGGAGTGGTCCCCTTCCCCTAGGTTCCCCCCCCACAGTAGTGTCCTCTTCCCCCCCCACAGTAGTGTCCTCTTACCCCCCCCCCACAGTAGTGGTCCCCTGCTTTCCCCCCCCCCACAGTAGTGTCCTCTTTCCCCCCCCACAGTAGTGTTGTGTCCCCCTCCACAACAAACTTCCCTCCCCCCCCACAGTAGTGTCCTCTTCCCCCCAACCACAGTAGTGTCCTCACTTCCCCCCCCCCCCCACAGTAGTGTCCTCACAGTAGTTCCCCCCCCCCCACAGTAGTGTCCCCTCTTCCCCCCCCCACAGTAGTGTCTAACATACCTCACTCTGTCCCCCCTTCCCACAGTAGTGTCCTCTTTTCCCCCCCCACAGTAGTGTCCTCTTCCCCCCCCCCCAGTATTCACAGTAGTGTCCTCTTCTCCCCCCCCCTCAGTAGTGTCCTCTTTCCCCCCCCCCCACAGTAGTGTCCTCTTCCCCCCCAGCAGTAGTGTCCTCTTCCCCCCCACAGTAGTGTCCGTTCTTCCCCCCCCACAGTAGTGGTCCTCCATCCTCTTCCCTTCCCCCCCACAGTAAGTGTCCATCTCTTCCCCCCGACCCCCCCCCACTCCACAGTAGTGTCCTCTTCCCCCCCCCCACAGTAGTGTCCTCTTCCCCCCCCCCACAGTAGTGTCCCCTCTTCCCCCCCCCCCCACCCACCCAAAGTAGTGTCCTTCCTCCCCCCCCGCCCCCACTCAGTAGTGTCCTCTCTCCCCCCCCCCCACAGTAGTGTCCTCTTCCCCCCGCCTCCCCACAGTAGTGGCATCTTCTCTTCCCCCCCCACAGTAGTGTCCTCTCTTCCCCCCCCCACAGTAGTGTCCTCACTCTTCCCCCCCCCCACAGTAGTGTCCTCGTTCCTCTCTTCCCATCCCCCCACCACAGTAGTGACCTCTCTCTCTTAAGCCCCCCCACAGTAGTGTCCTCTTCCCCCACATATAGTGAAACCCACAGTAGTGTCCTCTTCCCCCCCCCCCACAGTAGTTGTCCTCTCTCTCCCCCCCCCCCCACACAGTAAGTCCTCTCTCCCCCCCCACAGTAGTGTCCACTTCCCGCCTCCCCACAGTAGTGTCCTCTTACCCCCCCCCCCACAGTAGTTGCCTCTTCTCCCCCACCCTCCCCCCCCCCCCACAGTATCTCTTCTCCCTCTTCCCCCCACAGTAATATCCCTCCCCACAGATAAGTGCTCTCTCCCCCACCACTGTAGGGTCCACGTCCGCTCTACCTCCACAAGTATTCCTCTTCCCCCCCCCACAGTAGTGTCCTCTTCCCCCCAACATAAGTGTCCTCTTCCCCCCCACAGTAGTGTCCTCTTCCCCCCCCCCAGTAGTCGTCCTTCTCCCCCCCCCCAGTAGTTCCCCCCCCCACTCATAGTGTGTCTCCTCCTTCTCCCCCCCCCCTGATAGGGTCCACTCCCCCCCTCCCCCACAGTAGTGAGTCCTCTTCTCCCCCCCCCACTTCCTCTCCCCTCCCCACCACAGTAGTGCCCCTCTTTCCCCCCCCCCCCCCACAGTAGTGTCCTCTCCTCCTCCCCCCCCATGTCCTCTGTAGTGTGTCCCCTTCACCCCCCCACAGTTGTGTCCTCTTCCCCCCACAGTAACCCACACCCCCCCTATGTCGACCCCTATCCCATAGAAGTGTCCTCCAACTCCTCTTCCCCCACATACTCAATACCCCCCCCCCCCCCAGTAGTCCTCTCCCCCCCCAACCCTCCCACACAGTAGTGTGCTCACTCTCCCCCCCCCACAGTAGTCGTCATAAGTGTCCTCCCCCCCTTCACATCATCCCCCACAGTAATGTATGATCTCTGTTCCCCCACAGTAGTGTCCCCCTCTGCCCCCCCCCATCCAGTAGTGTCCTCTGCCCCCCCCCC